TCTGCCTCCCTGGCTAAGAAGGGCAGTAAGGAAGTGGTAGAGGGTCAGGAGGGGCCCGCCACCCAGAAAAGCAGAGGGCCCTAGAGAGAATCTCTAATGAGGCCTCTGAGCTTCAGAGAGAGGAGACAGAGAACAGAGCAAGAGAGAAGGGTAGGATGCCTGGTTTGGTGGTCACAAAGGGGAGGGAAATGGGGAGACAGAGAAGACACAACTCAAAGGAGCTGGGCCGAATGGCTGAGTTTTCCATTTTTCTGTCTCTTTTCCCAGGTTCCAAAAATTCTCTCAAAAAGATCTGGAAATTCAGAATCACTTTTCCTCTGTCATACAGATATTTTGAGCTCCTTTGAGGGAAAGCATTTGCTTTGGGACTATGTGACGCTGGTTTCTCAGTTAGCATTATGCACATTCCCCGACTCTCCTCCAGTGCCTTGCCCATGGCCTGATACACAATAGACACTCAGTAATTGCTGAGTGAATAGAATGCCACTGACCACTGGTCCTCTTTCCGCGTTCATTACACTCCAAAATGAATTCCATGTAAATCAAAGTTTTAAATGTTTAAAAATAAAAATTACAAAATTACTACAAGAATTTTTGGGCCGGCTGAGTGGCTCAGTTGGTTAACAGCATGAGCTCTGAGCAACAGCATCACCGGTTAGATTCCCACATGAGCCATAGAGCTGCACCCGAGCTGAGCTGCTGCTGAGCTCAGGTGCATGCGCTCTTACCAGCAAGATTGCTGGTTTGACACCAGTATGGGATGGTGGGCTGCGCCCCTTCCCCCACAATTAGATTGAAAATGGCGACTGGACTTAGAGCTGAGCTTGCGCCCTTCACAACTAAGATTGAAGGACAACAGTGTGACTTGGAGCTGATGGGTCCTGGAAAACCACAATGTTCCCCTTCTCCAATTCCCCAACACTGTTCCCCTCCCCAACTTCCCAATAAAAAAAATCTTTTAAAAAAATAGAATTTTTGAATTTGTTTTTAATTGTGGTGTCTGAAATTTGTACATATGAAATGAAACATAAAAGGCATACAATATTAAGCTCAACTACATTAAAAACATAGAAGAGATACATTTAGAAAGTCCAAAGATAAATGACAAACTTAAAAATACTATTTCAACACAATATTGGATAAAGATTAATTTCCTTAATGCTGAAATAGTTCCTGTTAATCAATAACAAAAAATAAACTCAATGGAAAAATAGGTAAATGTCAGGAACAGACAAGAAATGGAACTGGTTTTTAAACATATGAAATGATGGTCGATGTCACTCTTATTAAGAGCAAGCAAAGCTAACCAACACTACAAGAAAGACTATCTCAGGTCAGCAATGAAAACACCTTTCCTAAGGGTGTACGAATAAGGATGTAGGCAAACAGGCTCTATCATGCATTGCTGTTGAGATGATAAATTGTATGGATGGAGAGAATGTGTTTGATAGCTATTAAGTGTACATGAATCTTTGCCCTAGAGATTTCGCTTTTATTAATTTATTCTGCATTTGTGTATGCATGCAGAGACACACACATGAATATTCATGAAGCTTTGTTTATAATAACAACGCACTGAAAACAAATGTCCGTCATTAGGGGACTCATTAGTTCAATTTTAGTATTTCGTACATGGAATAAATAGCCTGCAGCTATTGCAAAAAAAACACACAAAAACTAAGGCAGTTTTAAGTGTAAAAATATAGAATACTATGTCTGAGATCGATTTAAGTTTTTTGAAAAATTCAGAAAAGTGTATACAGCATGCTAACAATGTCCAAAGGAAAGAAGGAAGGACAGGAAGGGGAAAGAAAAAAGAAAAAGCATATCACAAATACACACAGAATATTTGGGGAAGGAGCTATTCCCCCTGGAGTAGCCTCTAGACAGAGAACCGCACATAACTGACTAGTCTCTATTTCCAGGTCTTTCCCCATGCCTTCATCTCTCCCACTACCCACCTGCTCATTACCCCCTGCAAACATTCACAAAATGGCCTCCTACTTTTTCCACTGATCCATAATTGTATCCATCAAAACTAATTTTTAAAAATTTCGCTTCCTCTTGGAAGTTTGCTCTAACCATTCTCCTCTCTGTTAGGAAATATACTTTTTGTGCAACAAACTTTTCTTGGGCTCCCAATAGATGCCAAGTAATGTGATAAATGAGGGTATACCAAGATGAAAGAAAGGCACACATCTTTTAACAGTTCACACTAAAATATTGTGCTTCTGTTGGCAACATACATACACACCTTTCCATTGTCTCATCTCCCAATTATAGCTTCCTCCGTTCCACATGATTTGCCGTTTCGAAGCACTTTTCTCTCTGTTATTAGATGCGTGGGAGTTTAAACTTGCAATCAGATTGGAAGCCCCTGAAAGGCAGGGGCCAGAGTTTTTATTTCATAGTAATACTTACCTTCTCTGACATTGAGGGGCAATTTTGCCCTGTATTGCATGGCTTTGCATGAGCTTGGGGGTTTCTGCCTGCAGTCCTTTAATAAGTACAAAAAGGAGCCTAAACAAAGGTGCAAAGTCTGGTTGGAGGCTGTGAAGTACCCTAGAAGCTTTGCTTTCAGAGACCTGGTGAAGCAGCTGATGAGAGAGGTAGAAATGTTCCTACTGCTAATTAAAAAAGAAAAAATCAGGAATTCATATACATGCACATAGAACATTTAATCGACACATATCTTCTGACTACCTTTGCGGCCTCTGATACCTTTATATTGCCTTGTCATCTCTCTTTTACCTACCAATGCTTCCACTATCATTTACTTTTAAAACTCTTTTTATTCTCAGAATGAAATATTGACAAATATTTGAGGCTTTCTTTGAGGGCATTAATGTTTTGAATAAATGCTCTCCTAAGGGATACTATTAACAAAGGTTCTGTGTGAATACAGGAGTTTCTGGGACCACCCATGGCAGAAGAGGTGAGATTAAGAGAGTAAATGTAAAAAGGACCTTCCAGAGGATGGAGCCAGGGATATGGAGAACAGGGGCAAGTCCCCACCAGAGAGCAGAATCAGGGTCTAACTAGAAACTTCCACCATTGCCAGGGTAGAAGATCTTCAAAATGGCTATCCAGCAAATATCACAGGCTCATGACCTCTGAGATCCCTCCATGTTCCTTTTTTTCAACTGGAGTGTTTATTATGGCCATTATGCCCACCATCACATGTGGTACACATGAGTTATCTAATCTTACCTAGTCTTTAGTTTTGTTGCTGTTGTTCTATTTTTTCTTTTATTTTTTTTACCACCTGACCATTCCTAGAACTGCTGGCTCACTTGGTCTAGAGTAGAGCCTGATAATTTGCATTTCTATCAGGTTCCCAGGTAATGCTGATACTGCTGGTGGTTTAGGACATGTGAACATGAGTACATTATACCACTTGGTAGCTTATGCAGCCCTGTCAAGGTGGATTTCCTCATTCTGGGAACCGCAAACCAGGACTCTTTTGTCTAGGCTGAGACAGGGGCAGCCTTAGGCCGATACCAGGACACAGACACACAAATATTTGTAATAACCAGAGTTGTCAGAACTCTCACTGGTTCGATTTTCAGTTTCTATTTTGCAGTCACACTGTGTATTCTCACACTACCCCAGCTGCCAGAGAAACTGATTCACCCCTGCTGTGGTAGCATTATACACAGGCACAGACAGATTTCTGAAGAGTGAATCAATACCTCTAGTGCTTCAAAACACAGTGAATATGTCTTTTCTCTGTGCTTCTCCCCAACCAGTACCTTTATTAATAAGATTGAAACATTTCTATCTCATAGTTTTCTTGAATGCAAATTCTAAAAAATAAAACAAAACCCACAGTGTTCCTAGCTTCCTATTTCAGCATTTCTTGCACATTTAACATATATTTTTATAAATACATGATAGAACTTGTAAATAGAATTAGAACTTGTAACTCTTGACTGAGACCTAAAAATAAGGATTTCCCGCTGGGATCGGCTTAGCTATGTATCCTAATAAAAAAAGTAGAGGATTGTCAAGAAGTATAGCTTCCACCCGGCCCTGGGCAGAAAAATCCACGATAAATAATGCTTTCTCCAACACTGAATAACCTGCCTCAGCAATCTCGGTTGTACTGGAGCATAAAATTCACCTATGTTCTGGGTAATTTCCTGTCCTCAAAGATACCTGGTGCTTTTACCTTTTTTCCCCTTGGGTCTGTGTACATTGGGATCTCTTTGTGATTAAAGGTATGAATAAGGAAAAAGCAAAGAAAGTACACTTTCTCTGTCATAACAAACCACTACGGCTGCCAATTGTGGTGTGCGGGTGCTGAATACCAAGGTAACCCACAGGGATTTAAAATGTTGTGGAGCTCAGAGAAACCTAGAATGTGGAGAGATGTTAGGAATTGTTTGGCTTAGGTTAGTGATCATGATAGATCATGGAATGTCAGAGGAGCTAAAAGCTCTGGAAAAGGCAAACATTAAAAGTTTCCCTTCTGATCTCTTTGGTTAATGATTTTAGCTATTATTTAGAACAAAAACTAACATTTACTTTTTATGTGCCAGGCATTATTCTAAAAACATTTCATGTATTCACCCATTTGATCCTCACAACCCCACTGTGAGTTGGTAGAGTATTATCCCCGTTTCACAGAAGAAGATACTAAAACATGGAGACACTCAATTATGTCCACAGGGTCACAGCATGTAAACGCAGCCTGGTTCCAATCCTAAAAAGCTGACATCAGAGCCCATGGTTCTCATTATGTATTCGTTCGTGCAACCACTACTTTTTAAATGCCTGACATGTGCCAGATATTATTGTTGGAACTGGAGATTCATCAGTGAATGAAACAGATGAGAAGCCTCGGCCTTGTGCAGATCACATAAGTGCTCCTTATAGCAGCCTGTGAGTCATATTGGTGATAAGGGTGGGTAGAGGGTTACCATCCCAGCAATGAGGCGGGTGCTTGGTAAATATATCCTTCCTCAAGTTCTGCTCCTTGGTAAATCAGCTAACCTAGGACATCGAAACAATTCGCCAAGTGGAACTTCTTCTGACTCACTGCACAGGAAGGGTAGGGGGAGGCAACGGGCTTGGCTCTTACTCAATGTCCACTTCCTCTTAGATCCCTGCCTGTTTCAGTTTCCAGTTTCAATTTCTTTTTCCTAAAGTCAGTTGCCAGAAAACAAAGCAAAGGAACTAAGTGAAGCTTCCATATATAGGTCTCTCACATTTATTTGAGGCAGAGGAGGAAGATTTCTGAAGAGCACCGTAGCCTGAACTGCAGCCTTTCACTAGAGCTGAGAAGCACACACAACCATGAGGTAAGCATTTCCTGATCTTGTTGAAATGTCTAATCAGTTTTGTTGTGAATTGCAAATCCTGAGCAGCCACCATCCTAAAAGGCAAGCTCCTAAATTGCTTTGCTTTAGTGTTGCTAACCTTTACTAAGCATGTATCTCTGTAGGTTGCATATTTGTCCTACCAATCCTGGCTTCTTTACTCCTAAGTTATTTTCTGCCTCACACCCGTCAAGCTTCCTAAGAGCGTCTGTCACCCAGGGAAGCTGAGAGCTGAGTTCAGAGAGGCGTGATGCAACAAGGGCAGAGAGAGAGATTTAATCAGGCAGGTACTTCAATTTAAAGGTGGGTCCAGGGGAGTTGCTCCTGGAGATTGCTTCTCTTTTGTTTCTTATTTGAAAGGACTAAGTGAGAGGCTTTTCATCAGATTCCCGTTTAACAAAAGATCTCTTTTGAGCAGGTATTGCTTACAGTGTACTCAGGGCAGCAGCCCCACTTCATGTTAAGGTGGACTTTACTTTTAATATGCTCATAATTCATTTCAGATTTGTATTAGGGCTGGTAAGATGGAGTCATTCATTTAACAGAAATACAGTGTGCCCCAAAATCCTGATTGGTTAGAGTCCTCCTATCTGAAGTATGAATGGGGGATGGAGAGCTTGGAGAAAATCATCCCCACCTCTAAAATCCTCTCACACCCCAGAAACGTAAGATTGCCCTGGGGAGAAAGTGTTAGCTCATTGGGTAGGAAGGGAGCTATCCATTTTCTCCAGTGTGAGGATGGGGTGACCTAACTGGATGCCTAAGCCTCCTCAGTCTTGGGAGCTCCAAGATCCAGGGACACCGGCCCCAGTACTTCCTTGCTAGAGGACACATGGCCCTCTTTCTCTAAGTTTCCTGATCTCTCTTCTTGAAGAGCATTTTTCCTGCAAGTCTGACTGATAGAAAGAAAAAAAAAAAAAGATTTGAGATATTTCCAGATGTGTTTCTCTAGTAACTCAGAATCTTTAGAAACCTTTGTTTCTACTTCTTAGAATTTTAGCATGGTCTTCTTATAGAATCGTTCCCATGATAATAGAGACCTATTAGTCTCTCTTCTCATTTTCTTTGCTTGTTTTTTTTTTTTTTTTTTTTTTTTTTTTTTTTTT